CTTAAATTAGGATTCTAATTATATTTTCAGAATTTTTAAATTTTTTATTTTTAAATTTTTGAATTTTAAATTTTTAAATATTTTTGTTTTGTTATTAGTTAAGAATGATAAGTACAATTTTTCGTTTAGGTGATATTCTGCGGAATTTTTTTTTAGTTTAAGGGTTACAACTTACAACTAACGAGATTTTTTGTTTAGTACTTTAATAAATGAAAATGTAACACAAAACTTGTTTTTTGTTCGATGTAATTTGTTTTTCGACTTTTGTTTTTCACTATGTCGACATGTTCATACAACAAGGAACAATAATGCTTCCTACTTATCAAATTGTGATCATGTTAAACCACTGCTCTTCAAAATACTGTAGAAAATTGTGCTAATTTTCTAAATCAGGGTCAGTATCTACAACATGCCGCCAGTCTTCTGTCATATACGTCGGTGAAAGTAACACAAAATAAGGGCACAATCGTACTACTATATTTCTATCATATTTATATTCAAGACTATTGGAGGATATTTTCTTGACCAAGTGACATTGTATTGCCCTTTTTCCAAACTGGGGTGGTAACGAACAATAACTATAAATATCGCAGATAAAAATTAATTTCAATTCAGATTGTATTTATATGTATATTGTTGTTCGGATTGTTAGGATACAATTTTTTGTGTTCAAAATTTAGGATTCAACATATTGCAAGTTCAACTTTTAGCGAACTCAACATTTTAGGAACTTGTCATTGTGGGTCCAGTAAATTCAACTTTTTACGAATTCAAACTTTTGGGAGTCAACATTTTGCGAATTCAACATCATAAGAATCCAACATTTTGCAAATTCAACATTATGGTCCAGAATGGAAATAACGAGGTAGTAGTATGATACATTTCGTACAAGTAGTACCCTTACAGTACAAAGTGAAGGTACTAGTGAAATTACTCGTACTTGGCTATAATCAATTAAAATCCGTTTAGCACAAGGTTCCATTTCCTGAAATTACTAATACACACCCATATTCCATCACCCGCAGTCAATTTTCTGGAATGCCTATTTTCTATGCCTTTCACAACATTAGCGATGCTGAGTTATCAATAGTAGTTTACTATCGGAGTTGATCTTGAAAATTGGGATAATATCGATAACATCAATAGAGCTTAACTATCGAGGCTAAATACTATCGAAACTGTCGATACTATTGTGTCGTCAATATGGGGAGTATTTCAGAAGGACTTACACTAGTTATGACAACTATATGTATTTTTATTACGGTCTATGTTTATATCTATAGCTACCTCTAGATTTTTAATTTTGCGGTTTTTATGTACTTTGTTTTTACTACTTCTTTATGTACTTCAATAATTCCAATAAAAATTCTTTTGTGGATTATTTAATTGTAACTAGACATGAAAAAAGAAAACAATTTTCGTATTATTTTTATTATGATAAAATGATTTCAAACTTAGCGTATATAATAAATATCTTTTATATTAATCTTTAACATCTTCGTCAAATTCGCCTTCATCATCTACTGTAGCGTCCTGGCACTGCTGGTACTCTGAAACGAGATCATTCATGTTGCTTTCAGCTTCTGTAAATTCCATTTCATCCATACCTTCATCTATGTACCAATGTAAAAAAGCTTTCCGCCTGAACATGGCTGTAAATTGTTCAGAAATTCTTTTAAATAATTCTTGAATGGCCGTTGTATTTACTATTAAGGTGGCGGACATTTTAAGGCCACGTGGTGGTATGTCACAGACGGCAGTTTTGACGTTATTTGGAATCCATTCTACAAAATAACTGCTGTTCTTGTTTTGCATATTAAGCATATGTTCGTCCACTTCTTTCATGGACATCCGACCGCGGAACACGGCGGCAGCGGTGAGATATCGACCGTGTCGTGGGTCGCACGCAGCCAACATGTTCTTGGCATCGAACATTTGCCTTGCAAGGTCTGGTACAGATAAAGATCGGTACTGCGGTGCATTTCGTGCTGTGAGTGGTGAAAATCCAGGTATAAAGAAATGTAATCGTGGAAAAGGCACCATGTTCACTGCAAGTTTCCGTAAATCTGCGTTTAATTGCCCCGGAAACCGAAGACAAGTAGTCACTCCAGACATTGTTGCTGAAATTAAATGGTTAAGATCTCCATAAGTTGGAGTCAATTTTAGAGTCCGGAAACAAATATCATACAGAGCTTCGTTATCAATGCAAAAAGTCTCATCTGTGTTTTCTACTAATTGATGGACTGATAATGTTGCATTGTAGGGTTCTACAACTGTATCCGATACTTTAGGACTTGGCACAACAGAAAAAGTATTCATGATACGGTCAGGATACTCTTCTCTGATCTTAGATATAAGCAAAGTTCCCATACCGGATCCAGTACCGCCACCTAGTGAATGTGTCAATTGAAATCCTTGTATGCAGTCACAATCTTCTGCTTCTTTTCTTACTACATCTAGTACTGCATCTACAATTTCAGCTCCTTCTGTATAATGTCCTTTAGCCCAGTTATTGCCAGCACCAGATTGTCCAAAAATGAAATTTTCTGGACGAAATATTTGTCCGATAGGGCCAGATCTAATAGAGTCCATAGTTGCTGGTTCCAGGTCGACAAGAACTGCGCGTGGCACGTATTTACCACCAATGACTTCATTGTAATAAACATTAATACGCTCAAGTTGTAAAAATGAGTCTCCATGGTAGTGGCCTGTGGCGTCGATTCCGTGCTTGTCTGATATTACTTCCCAGAACTGTAAACAAAATAAAAATAATAAAAAATAATAAAAAATAAAATAACAAAAATGAGAACATGGAAATAGTTTATGTTAATTTTATCTAGCGTAGAATTTATTACACTATGTGAGCGTTGCAGTCATTTTCATTTACTTATTTCTTTTATTCATTAAACTTCGTATTACCTACAAGCTATCGTGACTAAATAATCCCATATGTTATAGATATAGGGTAATCTATTTGGAGGAAACTAAGGTTAAGCAATAAACATCAAGAGGTGACAATTATAACAATAATTTAATGCACTTTTTGCATTTTAAAAGCACTACGATTTAATTGAGGAGCGTCGAAACAAAAACCGACAAATCACATTTGTGTTTTTTGTGGAAAAAAGTAAAAATATTGCCAAATTCATGGTTTTCTAATTTAGAGTTAAACGAAATCTATCAATTTATCATTTTTAGACCACGTTACATTAACCATAGAGCAAGATATGTACGAGAGGCATCATAAAATAAATTGTAAAAATGTGATTTATCGGTTTTTGTTCTGGCACTCCTCAATTGATAAAAAAATAAAAGTTGTTGAGGTTGATCTGATTCACTATAGGTTAGTCACAAAAGTAACTTAAGAAAACAGTAAGCAAACAACTCTGTAAACAGCCACTGGGTCTAGTCATTACTCTTAGTAATTAATAATGATACCTTTTCCCCAATCTGATTTCCACATTGTCCTGCTTGAATATGAACGATTTCTCTCATTTTCAGCTAGCTGCACAAAGAATTTAGATGTCTAAAAATATGATTAAAATTTAGTTCACCAGAAAAATTGAGGCATATATTATTTATTTAATTTAAATAAACTTAAATTTTAAATAAATAAAAAAAATACAAAAAATATCAAAATATCTAAATCAGCACACGTGCATTTTACAAGAAATTTTGTTATACATTTATTGGATTGATTTCATTTTTTTTTAATGCAATTCATTCCTTTTTTAAAAAAATACATTTAGCTTGTTGCTATCTCTTTTGAAAAACTTTAAGGCGGCTACACACAACATTTTAATAATAATTGGATGCTTGAGCCAAACGTTTGTCGGTCTTGTGGGTTCGATTATTCAACACTAGCGGCTCATCCTCGCTTCGCTCGGGTTGACTTTAGTAGAATATATACAAAGTAGGAGTACTGCATAACGCTTACATATCTTAAATAATATTAACGCAATTGAAAGAGTCAGATCTTGGAAAGGTCAAGTCACTGAATACATTATACTAGCGGCTCACCCTCACTTCGCTCGCGTTCGTACCCAGTTATGTTTTAACGGTTTGTATGCAATAGATAGTCAATCGCTGGTTCTGTGAAAAATAAAAACAAATATTCCACGCGAACTGTACATTTATGCAGAAGAAAAATAAAAAGTAACGTATGTGCTATTCCAGACTATAATCTATCACTGTGCCAAATTTCATCCAAATCGGTTGAGCCGTTCTAGCGTAATTGAGTACCTAACAAACATGCATTCAAACTTTCGCATTTGTATAGTAGTGAAATACATACACACATCACTCGGTTGGAACAAATTAGTTTGTATTTAAGAGTCGGGGCCAGGCTTAAGCAAGCCGTGAATGTCATACTTACATCTCAACAAACGCCAGTTATCAAGCAACGGTTAGTTTGGAAATATATGATTTTATAAAAAAATACTTTAGATTAGATTTCGTTATGTTTTCATACTAAGTCTAACCACATATTGAACGAGTACAAGAACAAACAACAAAATTAATCGAAATTTTTTACTAAGTATGTTTTTTCAATAAAATTAGTAAGATAATAAAAAAATACTATGGAAAAATGAAACATAGTTACTTTCAATTTATTCTAATTATAAGTTTTGTATAAAAGTATTTATGCATATAACTATATATTTTGTATAAAAATATATATGTGTTTATGCATGTATTTATGGTATGTATTTACGTGCAGCAAGTACAGCACCTACCATTTCATATAATTACTCCTACGCCCTAAGGTTGCCTGGAAGAGATCGCTTATAGCGATAAGGCTTTCTTATTTTGTATATTTCTTTCGTGGTGTACAATAACTACTTTATGCTAACTACGTGAATTGGAACACAGAATACTAGCAAATGTCATTGTTCACTTTAATTCCAATTGTCACTGTCACTGTCAGCAGAAAAATAGTTAATAGATTTTCTTCAAGAAATTCTAATTTAGGAAAACGATTATAATAAAAAAGGTAAAAAATGTCCGTACGTCTTGGCGGTGCACTCAAGGAGTTGAGGATCCACTTATGCCAAACAAGCAAGCAATCAGCTGGTGTTAGGTAGGTTTGATTATATAAACATTCTTATAACCTGCAATTCAAAAACTACTAAATTATATAAAAAATAAATATTTGCTACAATTTTAAAGTTCTCGTTCTCAAACTACATAATAATGCATTATTTATGTTAAAAACAATTTCTAACTATCAATAATTTTAATTACAAAGCAATCTTGTCTTGTTTTAATGGTTGGTGATATTTTTTAGGTATCAAATGTAATTTCTTCATAATTACTACCATTGATGTAGCTAACTACTTTTTTCAGAGAGTTTATCCAAAAGAATTATGTAAATATCAAGAAAGAGAATCCAAATTTCCCAATACTAATTCGTGAATGTAGTGGAATTCAACCTCGAGTTTGGGCGAGATATGGTAAGATAACAAGTTAATTAAAAGAATAAATATAAACAAAGACATTGTTTTATAAGAATAGCATAGGCAACTAACTTTAAAAACTAAAAAACAAAAAATAATACATATTAGCCATAAAAATATTTGCAGAAAGAGGCTATGAACTATGTGAACCTTTGTGTGACTTTTCAAATGAACAAGTGATGGCAATAATTAAAAAACTAAGCACAGCGTAAAGACCTTATCTTTTAGTTTTAAAGTATTTTTTGTTGGTAATTTTCATTATAGGTATTAGGTAGTTCTATTACAAGTACATAATATTTTTTTTATTTTGTTTTTGTAATATTATATTTTTTAGTTTATTAGCCATTTCATTATTTATTAGTTATTGATTCCTTATAAGTGTATTATAGTTTTGATATTCTCTATAGACTATAATTAGAAGTTTTAATAAGTGGAGCGATATTTTTTTTCACTTTAATATAAGCTTTCACTGTAATATTGCACTATTGTATTACAGTAAAAGTTGAGTAGAAAATGCCTCAGTTCTTGAATGTTTTCAAAAATGATCATGTAAAAAAAATCATTCACACCAGAAATTTAAATTAACTATTTATTTTAAAAATAAGTGGGCCACCTCAAAATGTTGATTTTTTGTTCATTTCAATCATTTTCGTTTTTTTATAAACTACAGATTCTACCCCCAAGCTAAGAAAAAAAAATTTCGCTCCACCCCTAATAAGTACAAAGTATATTCTGAATACAGAATAGGTATGTATATAAATAACCATTTCCCTATTTTTATTTCAGACAAAGGTTTTGAAAAGAGCGCTCCATTAACTAACTTATCATCCAATGATGTTTTATCAGCCATCAAACAGCTTGCGAAGTGAACATATTAATTTTTATTTATAATGTATATAGCTATAGACAATTTTAATTTGAATAAAACCACACACAAATAAATTATTGCTTTTATTGTACTTGTGTTACTACAAAATAACAGATGTAAAAATCAACTAGAAAACTACAATGGCTCTAGTGTTATCACAAAATGGAACAACAGATTAAAAATTCTAAAAAAGTTTTATTATGACATTGTATTTTTTTCATGCCTAAGTATTTATATAACATTTTGCATATAAACCTATCCTACATACATTGTCTATGTGTGGTGAGTAATATTTTAGAAAATTGTATAATTTTTAATTATAACTGGATAAAAATTATTTATTATTATGTTTTAAAAAAAATCATGAAAATGTTGAACATTAGGCATATATATAAAACAGGCAATAACAAAACTAATAGGTGATTGATATAATATTCAATGTTTTAGAACTAAAATATTTTATCACCATTCATGAGAGATTTGCATCATACTTGGTGGTATTCAATGTTAATTGGTCAAATGAGCATCTCTGTTTGTTGACATTCTAGATATGGAATATTTTTGTTAATAAATAATTCAAATATATGATATATTATGGCATAACATAAGTTAAACAATATTTCTGTGACCAGCACAATAAATCCCTGTAGCATGATTCAGTTATTTTAAAAATATACAAATATAGAAAACACAGATATGATACGTTAAAAATTTAATCTAATGTGGTTTCAAATCAGATTATGAGTTTAAGAGTAGTCTAAGTCAATGAGCGCTTTCGATTCTGGTAGCACCAGTTGGCGCCACTGGCGAGTGAGGTCCCATCGCTGTCGTTGAAACGTATTAGTGTAGTACGGCAGGGGCAATAAATTTAATATAATCATTTTAATTGTTAGGACGAAAACAGTTCTCTCAGGATAATACATTGACCTTTTCTTAAGTCTTCTTTTAAACCAATAATGGCAATGGAATGGCACAATCTTTACAATAATCATGAATATTAATTAAAATAAATATAAATAAATAAATATGTTGGGACATTAAAACAACACCATCTTGTTCCATAGTAAGCTACGAGGCTTGTGTTATAGATATCAGATAGTTGATGCACTGTACATATATAACTTTAAATACATACATATTATAAATATGAAACACCCATGACTGGAGAACAAACATTCGTGCTCATCACATAAATGAATGCCCCCAGCGGGACTCGAATCCGTGACCGCTGGCGCAGCAGGTAGGGATACTACAAACTGAGCCAAACGTGCCGTCAAAAATCCGCGATAAAAAGCTCGCAAACAGTAAACATTCAGTACTATTTGACATTTCTAGAGACCTTACTCATCACCAGCGCCCTCTCGTGGCGAATTCAAACGCGGTAGCCCCCATTGTCACAATATTGATAAAACATTTTAATATCTATGATTAATATCATTACTGACAAACTATATTAGCACTATACACATATATGTTACATATTGCTTGCTTAAAGATTCTAAATCGTCCAAGATGGCGCATTACGCCTTCGTCTAAAGTCTGGACCTCTTAAATTGTACATCTTATATACACTTAGGGCTTGTGTAAGTGTTTTAAAAGGTAAAGATTTTTTTGAATCAGACTAGTTGTAGTTTCTGAGGTTTAACCTCCTACATGCAAACTAACAAACCATATTTATTTATAATAATACTAGCGACTCACCCTCGCTTTGCTCGGGTTCATTCCTAGATAGGCAATGTAAGCGCATAATACAAATCTTTGAATTTCTCGCCTTTCTGTACTATAATATGCATGTATTATACATATAAACCTTCCTCTTGAATCACTATCTATTGCTGAAAACTGCATTAAGATCCGTTGCGTAGTTTAAAAGATCTAAGCGTACAAACAGCGGAAGCGACTTTGTTTTATACTACGTATAGATATATATACCTATTTTCTTCATAATGGCTTAGAATTGCGTTAACAGACGCGATACAATCTGCTAGTGTCACGTATTGTGAGAAAGGGATGAATGAGTTTAAGCGGTAATTTTGAAATTTAGTAGTGTTAAAGTGAAATTATATAAACTCATTATAGTGGTATATATGACACGGCGCCAGCGCCATCTTGGGTCAATTTGTTTTGTATTTAAGATGGAGGAAGTATATTGAATAATGTACAAATATTTATTCACTATTGAGTCGTTAGAATTCAACTATCAATCACTATAGGCACTAGTTACAGAAGTTAAGTCAAAGAAGACTTTAGGCACTTCGTATGTAAAACTACAATCTACTATCATAAATGTTCTAATACTATTCTGCAGTAATATAAAACAACTTAATTTTTCCATTTAGCTTGCAATTTAACATTTAGTTTTGGCATCATTGATAACATTCAAAAAAATGTTTCAATATGGCTTCACAATTTTTAATTTTACTAATGAGTATCAACACAACTTTACACAAGAAACTAAACTTTAAAAGAGTCATTGCGCATATAAAGATTATTTTATTATTATTTAAATTATATTATGAACTTAAATGAAAGTATAATGTGACTTAAACTTTCTCTTTTATTAATATACTTGTTTTTGTGTAGTTCTCATTTTACTTTTTACCTTACTTTCAAATATATATTTGTAAATTGTAATCACATTTGTTTAAAATAAATATTTTAAAAAATCTATAATCAGTCATAATATAAAATAAACATAAAAAACTTGTAACAAACATCCAATATGACACCAAAACTATTATTTATTTATAGCACTTTTTAGAAGGGTGGTAGCCCAAACATTTCTGGTTGGAATTTGGCTAACGTTGGCAACACTACCGTAGCATGGGTTGTCAGTCTCTTGTCCAAGTGGGGGTCTGGCACCATCACTACTTGCATACCAGCTGATACACCTGCTGTCACACCGTGTGGTGAATCTTCGAATACTAAACACTGTAAAAAAATCAGCCATTAAAATTATGTATATTATTTTATTTTTATAAGCTGCTGCTATTTATTTTACATATTTTCTTTTGCTACAAATAAATATTTAATTATTTTTATTGTTGGAGAAATAAAATATATTTTAAAATGTCAAATATTCGCGTAAATCTAAGAAAGTATCACAGACCAAATTAAAAAAAAACGGTCCTAGCTTTAATAACGTTAGGCGCCAACTATAAACTCACTAGAAGTTTGTACTACAGATATATTTGTGACCAAATTGTATCAATGAATGGAAGTGGGGAAAAATATGAAAACGCGAAATTTAGCGTAAACTCTATTCCGTCCGTACCTTTTCTGGTGCCGGCTTGTCAGGAAACCTGCTTGCTGCTACCAAGAATATGTCGGGGTGTGGTTTCCCATACTTCACTTCCTTGTCAGTACTCCCCATGACCATATGATGAAAATAGCTGAATAGTTCTTTATGAGGTTCTATTTTGGTTTTCACTGAACGTTCACTTGAGGAAGTTGCAAGCGCGAATGGCACCTTCGTTTTGTGGAGATGTCGAATAAGTCTTTCTGCTCCTATAAAGTTTTTACTATAATAGAGTGAATTTAAAATTATAATTATGTTAAAATTGTAAATTAATCACACGACATAATATGCGAAATCCATACTGAATACTATAAATGTTAAAGTGTGTTTGTTTGTTTGTCCTTCCTTCACGTTGAAACGGATTGGCGTGATTTTTTGTGTGGAGATAGTTAGAGGGTTGGAGAGTAACATAGGATCCTTTTTACCGCGGGAGATTATCTCATTTCCACAGCAAAACATGTTATAATACAACCCAAAAAATTGTTTATGATCAGAATTACTTGAAACTTGGTATTAATTCTCATCAATACAATTAAATAAAAAGGTTAGTATTCTTCGAAATTCATCCCATAAATATAAGGGATTAATAGGGCGAGCGAAGCCGCGGATTCTGCTAGTGCACTATAAATGTGAAAGTTTGTGTGTCTGTATAATTAATATGTGTTAGTTCATGCTTAAACAGTTGGACGGGTTTGGATGAAATTTAATACAGATAAAGCATAAGCTGATAGTAAGAAAATTAGCCAAAAGGTGGCGTTGATTGTTTGCCAAAAGATATTTTTGGATCAAGTCGCAAAAGGCACTTGGACACATTCAAGTAAAGAGGATAAGTTAACTAGTAAACAAAAATAGCCCGAAGAATAGCTAAAATAGCACTGGTCTATTTCTTTGGACGGAATGGGGCATCTGTACTTGTATAGTATGGTATGGTATAAAACGGGCTTGTTTCCGCAACTCGACGTCTGCGCGCCTATTTTGCGTGTGTTACTTGTATAGTATTAAGTAACCTGTGTGCTAACTATGCACAAATAAAAATTGAAAAATGTAAGCAGTTCTAATGTAATGTAATTTCTTGAACGTCATATTATAAGAAAATAAGATATCAATAATTACACCACTTACTTATATAATTTCTAGCGACTCACCCTCGCTTCGATTCTTGTTCGTCCCTAGACAGAAAAACAACTCTATCCTTTGGGAACCATACATTTTTCCGGGATGATATATAAGCCTTCGTCAATAAATGAGCTATCTAATTCAAAAAGAATTTTTCAAATCGGTTTAGTAGTTCCTGAGATTTGCATGTTCAAACAAACAAACTCTGCGTCTTTATAATTAGTAAAGATTACTATTTTATTAGCTGTACTTAAATCCTTTTATTTACAAAACAAACAAATGTTTGTATGAGAAAGTGGGAATAACTTTAGCTGTTTTCATTCAAATGAATAGCATATTATGCTCAATACATTAATTTATAACATAATTTTTTTTATAACAAACCATTTAACAAAGGAGTTCCAGCCAGCATAGTATCCCCAAGCTCTAACAATTGATTCCTGAACTCAGTGGGTGATACAGGAAGATTTAATTCTTTGCACAATATTTCAGATAGCCGTTGCTCTGTCCCTCCAAGAACTTTCATCATCAATTCATCAGTATATTTATGACCATACTTGGCACAAAGTTGTGTGATCATGTTTTTATAAACTCGTTCAGTATCTGAAAATTTATTAAATTATGATACAATTTTAAATTTTGAAATAAATATTCTGGATATACTTAATATACAATATAGAGTTTATGAGTCATTATAATGTAAATAATATTGAAGTTACAATTCATTCCAACATATTTCGTAACATAATAACCTCGAGCGTGTTATTGGTATGAACATTGAAAAAGTTCGAAAAGGTCGAATATTACTGTTGCAAACTTACCCAACAAGAGTCCATCCATGTCAAAGATACAATGGGTCACCTTCTTCACATTTCTCGTAGAATAGCATTGTTTTCTGATAGTACTTGATACAGCATTCAACAGTAAAACCCTCATATTAGCGCCGGTATATTATATAAAAGTTTAAAAAATAAATACAAGTATAAACTAATATTATTGTAATCTTAATTTTAAAGCTTATATTTATTATATAACATCTAAATATTACGTATTAAGATGTTATATACTAAAAATACTATTAACACTAAAAGCGGCCAACTCTAGAATAAAAAAATTAAACTTTTTACTTTGCTTCGATTGACATTTCATTTTTGAAAACTGACATGTTATATTAAAAGTTTTAATGGAGTCGTTTAGAAACTTATCATTATCTCTTTCTAACATCAGTAAAAAAGCTAAGAGAAAAAAAGACAGTTGTAAGTGTTACTAATATAATAAAACTAAATGAATTTTACATATAACTGCTTCCCATACAGTAATAAATATGTAAGCATTTTAAAATTCCATAAATCGTTTTAATATGTAAAAGAAATAAATATATATTTAAAAATATACATAAGTTGTCAGGAAAATGAGTTTTTATGGCAACAATTAGCGGTGTGAAACTCACCCGCACTCAGCGCACTTCGGACTTCACCCGGCGCAGTCTTTCTGCGACCGTCATGGATCGCAGTTGAACAATCGTGAGCCGTTTATATGGCGTATAAACTGTCCAAAGTTTCAATTAAAAATAATTTAATTTCATTTTTATTTATAAAACTTTAGTTGAGTGAGTTAACATTTACTAACAGTTAACAAAGAAACTTTATCGCGAACATGGCTGTGAACGTGTGTTATTGTGTAAAACTGTCGCCTAACAAAAAATCGATTTTTGGATTGAGTATGAGGAGCCAAATATTATATTTGGTATTGTTTGCCGGCTTCTTGGCTGTTGCTTCAGCTGCGGACACGGAAGTATCTTGTGCTAATGTGAGAAGTATTTTCGAAAAGAAAGGAATGCTGTCGATGGTTGATATACAAGAACAGCCAAATTCAGGTAAGAATCACGCGCTTTACACTTAAATAAGATAGTGATAAATGATAATAACATATCGTTTTGCAGGTGGCATCGTTATTCCATTAAATATTTACGGCTTTTATCGCAAAATTTTTTTAAAGTTACGAGAATGTCCTATTTAAGTTTAGATTCCGAACATGCTATACTTTAAACTTTTAACTAACTTTAGTAGTAAGTATACGAATAAGCAACTTTGAGACCTAAGTTTAATAAACTTAGACTTAACATTTTGCATTAATTACTTGTTGAATTATTAATCTATCTTATATTTTTAGTGTCTCCAAATAAAATCATACTTTAAAAATATAATGAGTTTGCAATAACTAAAAAAAAAACATTAAAACATAATTTTACAGTATTTAATTTGAACGTAGTAAATATTTCATCTTCTGAAGAACAAAAGACATAAAGGACTGGTAGCTATTGTTACAAAACAAATTCAAAGACCCCCGCCGATAAGAAGGCGCTATATTTTACCTGCTCAAGGAACAAGTTAAGACAAGAAGTCTTTAATTCCAAGCCAGCTTTTAATAATCCCACAAATTCCTGGAGATAATAAAAAGCTGTAAAAACTCCAGGGATATTCTTTTAACTTTATAAATACTACGAAATACGTATTTGTAAAGACGTTGCTTTGGTTTTGCTAATAAAGCGTAGGTTTTAGTAAAATTGAACTAGATTAGTTTATTGTAAAATACTTAATAAGTTATTAAATTAAATATTTAAAAACAACATTACGCAATTTATATTAATGAAAATAATAAAACTTTAAGACTGTATGGAATGATGTTTTTGCCTAATGTATCCGACCTATTTATGACAGATCACGGAACTTTAAAGGTAATGAACTATAGATTATTAATAAAAAATATAACAGAACTAGCGACTGACCCTCGCTCCGCTTGGGTTCGACCCTACTTACGTTTTAACGTTTAGTATAGATTTCTCAGAGATGAGATATTTTCTCGCAGTAAAAAGTAGTATCCTATATATTGGCCAGCTGTCATCATAACAAATTTCAGCAAAATCTGTCCAGTGGTTTTCTAGTGACGTGCTCCCAGACAGACAATCAAAAATTCTGAAAACTGTACCGATAATAATGACTATTTCAATTACATTTTCCCAAAAATATTCAGTGTACAGATTCGACTCAGGATTTTATTATATGTATAGATTCGTTTGCCTCGCTCTATATGTGTTACTTGATACATAAATAGTGACAATACTCAGTATACCTGTATTATGGATAAAATTTCAACTTTTTCATCGAGAGATTTGGAAAAATAGGCAATGGCGGATAGCCAGACCGACGACTATCGAATTATCGTAAAAGGTTCTTCATCGTATTTACGGAACCTTATAACAAAAATATTTAATTTATTAGAATGTTCATTACCTCACTATAAATTTGATTACAAACATGGCTCGATCTTGAAGAAGGTGTAGGAGTAATGGTCGTGGGCGGCGTTGTGAAATGCAAGAGTTGCGACATAAAAAGATACATATATAATAATTCTGCGAATCATATATTATACTGCAGTCAAAGTGGTGTTATACTTTACAGAGATCTATTCGCTTCACCAAAGAGTTCAATTTCTAGCAAATTTTCTATCGCCATGCCAGGAAGCGGTATAAACTTAAAACATGGGCAGTAAACAGGTAATGTCAGCGTAGGCGCACTCGCGGCGGTACGAAATACTGAGCGGCACTCTTTTCATACATTTAAAAAGATTTACAACAATAAAAAAACGTGTATGTTGTGTAGTTATGTACGCACGTAAGGAGTTATATTTCTTTGGCATAACAGAACAAAAATAGCTAAAGTCTTAAAGATTTTATCCCGTATGTCACAACTCTCTGTTTGTAAAAGGAATGTAGCTAACTTCATCATGTCGCTTTTTGGCTGTCGGTGTGCGCGCGCATCGTAAAAATTTTACTGTGATATTTTTTCCCAAACGTACCAAAAGAAGTTTAACTTCAAAAATCATAAATAAATGCATATATCCCATTATAATGTGGAATAAATGCGAATTATTATTATTATTTGTTGACAAACTTAATTCTGATTTATTGTTTTACAGGATATAACAATTTATAACGTTTAGCTCTCTCATATGTAATTTATTATAATTTTATAAATTCCGATTAGCGCCATTCATTTGTTAAGTTCTCGAATTACTTGGGATTAAATTTATATTTTTCAAAAATTTTGATACGTTTGACATCATAAAAGTTGCCTTCATGACTGAGTTTCTTAAAGTTAGACATAAAATATCTCTTTAAATAAAATTTACGCATAGAAGCAAGAATTCAATCTTTGTCTGAAATACGTGTTTTATTACAGATTAAATCCTTTACCTATGGGATACGGTAAAATTAATGAGACTATCTCGTTTCGAGGGTGTTTCGTACGTGACAAAAGCTTTGAAGTCATACAAGTCCCAACCTAACCCTTTATGTAAACTAATACATTATCGCTGCCGAGCTACGCCTATATTACTAGCATTGCCCGCGGCTCCGCCCGCGTTCAGGTGACCAAAAAGCAAATTCTTAGGTTTTACATATTAGAATACTCATACAATGCAGTTTTTGTATTTTTTCTCAGAAATGAGAGATTTTCCCGCGGTAAAAAGTATCCTATATGTTGACCCGGATAACAAGCTATCACCATACCAAATTTATTCAAAATCCCCCCAATAGTTTTTCTGTGATGCGGTAACAGACAGACAGACAAAAATTCTAAAAATTTTGAATCGGCCTCTGTATCAATAATAATGTTTATTTCAATAAGATTTCCAAAAAATATTTAACGTACAGATTTGGCTTGGTTACAATTTTATTATATGTATAGATTTCAAACCAATAAACCTATTTCTTTCCACTTTGATACTTTCGTTATACATTATCTATTCAGTGGAAAGAATGCAAGATTTCAATTAAATACAGGTTTATTGCTTATGCAATTTATACGCAAATACTGCGTTTATCCGACGCCATTGGTTAATTACCGCTCAGATACCTTACAGGTACCAGTTCTTAAGTTGAGATACTCTACAATTTAAGAACGGTGTATGTAAACCACGTTTCCAAATAAGGTAATAACGTCTGGTAGTTCTGGCACCAGTATGGCGGGAACCATGTCCAAGTGTTTTGCATACGGCTTATTTAGCATGCAATACTCGATCGCCGGTGTATCTAACGGGTGATAACTGATATGTCGCGCCGACTACCGGTAATTCTGTGCCTGAGAAGTTTTTTCAAAGAAAAAGAGAGAGAGAGTAGAGATTTAAAATTAAATTATTAAGTTTTTAAATATGGGAAATTATTTATATTTCAATATTTGTATTTATTAGCGCTTTACTTAAGTTTTTTGTACGGAGTACATCCGAGGAAGCATCACTTGTGTGTCATGTTCACGTTTTGATTACAATATTTGTTTTATAGAAGAAAAATTATTGTTTTTAAAAAACTCTATGAAACTCTATGAAATGATTCATTCAGTCCAGAAATTACCGAAAAAATCTTTGTCACATATTTTTTAATAAATATTAAGGTTTTTTGAAATAGCTTTTTAATAATACCCGTTAGCGATCACATCGTTTCCAATGTGTGTTTCAATCCTATAAAGTTTTGTTTATCATGTTTATCTGTTTGTTTATTTGTCTGATTTAATTCGTTTTTAGTATATGAAGTTGGTGACCCTAGTCGAAAGTAAAGTGTACATAAATTAATTCCTATTTTTGGACTCGAGCTAGAAAATAGTTTAAAATATATTATTTAAGATTGCCTGTAATCATAAAATATTGTAATAAATTTGGACATTACAATAGATTAATGTTTCCGTAACATATTTGCAATTCTTTATTTGCATGGAAGAGTCGTTGGCCCACCGGAAAGGGATCTAATGATTCATCGATATGATTAAGATTCCAGACGACACTTCTTGCTTTTGTACAACTGATTTAAAATTATCATAATAACGTCTGCCAATTTTTTAACATAAATAAAAACATAAATAAAAATGAAATCCTGTTCGTTGGTAAACGCATCACTCTAGAACGGCTGAACCTATTTTGCTAATATTTTCTAAAAACGTTACAGTTCGAATGGGACTTTTAGGGAAAAAAATGGATATGTTGCTCGGAAAATTATAGGACCGACCTGAATTATGGGAAAAACAAAAAGTTGTAGGATTTATAGTCAAAGACCACTATGGGAATTTTGACTCCTGTCAAAGTTGGTCGTCTGTACAAGTCCGCTATTCATAAATAATTATCAATCTGGCTGTATCTTCAAATATTTTGCCGATGTTAATTTAGAGAGAACTAATATTGGCCTTGTTTTAATGGTTATACCAAAATATTTAATTTCGTTTAGGTATGTTAAAAAGCTCGCTTCACATTTAATTTTGATGTTATACTTAATGTTTTTATTTAAACGTGTTCTTCTATAAAAAACTGTAAAATATTATAGTGGGAGACTATTGCCATAAAATTTGCATTCCTAATAGTGCGATTATTGGTATTTATTATGATTCATATTGAAGAAAAAATATATTAAATTACATAAACGTGTAAGGTTATGAGGTATTCTTGAATCCGCTTTGCTAATTTTTAATGCGCTACTATATTTGGCAGGGAAAAGCCTTAATTTATTCCTTCATCTACACTATTCTATACTCTACTGTTATAAAGAGGAAAGTATTTTTGTATGTTTGTAACGAATAAACTCAAAAACTACTGGACCGATTTAGATGAAATTTGGTAAGAAGATAGTTTGAGACCCCAGAAAGAACAGGATCGGAAGTACATAGGATATTTTTTATCCCGGAAATCATCCCTTAAGGGGGTGAAAATGGAGATGAAAGTTTGTATGGGAAATCAACCCAAGGACGAACCCGAGCGAAACGAGGGTGAGTCGCTAGTTCAAAATAAGCTTATAAACTACTTACGTAATATTCGTGTCTTGAAAAATATAAA